TGCATCGGTTTGTCACCCGTTTGATAATTTAGAGCTACCTGGAAAGTTGTTGATATATTTGGGGAAACGAAAAGAAAAACAGCAAAACGTACCATATGACAACCAGCATTCCACATAGGTATTGGATTATAGTTCGCCGAGGTGATGCGAGAACCATGTGGATAGACCCGTGATAACTGTCGAATGTTGAACGAAACCAAACCCTAGAAAAAATTTGCTGCTAAGCTGGAGGCGTGACGCTAAAATGTCATATACGGGGTTGGCAGAAATTCTATGAAGACGATATTTTTATCAAAATAGGCAAGATAACCGATTGAAATTAACAATAAAATGACTTGCAATTCGAGACCCCCTTTGACTCAAACACATTCTCTATATACAATGACATCAAAATTTGTTCAAAGACTTTCTCCCGACCCTTAGGATAAAAAACACCCAGAGTGTCCCGAAAAAAGTTAGATTACACAGATGTTCTTCTGAGAATTCGGACTAGCCCATGTAAAAAGCTGGTTCTGTAAGTAAGATACCTTTTCAATCAATCTGTCCAATTTATTCTCGACAAATGAACACATCTCGTAGAAGGATCCCGTCTGGGCATGAGTCGGATCGAATGGGACCGCTTGGCAGTAAACCTGAAATCGGTAATCATTTGTATAAGATATACATAGTTACTAGACCAGCATCTTAGATTAGAGTGCAAGGTTCGAAATTACTGACAACTAACCACCAAATTGGATAACTCCGCTGCAATCCTAGCGCTCTTTTCCTTTATCCGTAAAACGCTGATTTTGTCATTTACGGAACGGGTCAGATCCCACAGTTGATTTTGCCAATCGTCGGCCTCTTCCAGAGCTAGATAACCACAAAAAATACCCGTAAGAAGCTGGAAGAAGCATTATGGCTCACATCGAGCAGCCAGTAGCCATTGCTGTCCGCTCCATTGTTGTGCACTATGAGATATTTTGATGACATGTTGCTTTTCTGCATCAGTCACCCGTTCGATCACTGTTCCACCAAGTTCAATAGTGTTGTAGTTGCTCGCTACTGAAAAGGAAGGATTTTGTATTGGTCAGTTGCGTGCTCTAAGATTCTGAGCGTTTCAAGAACTTACCTCCAGTAGGGGTAGTTTTCTCCGGCAGAATCTCTTGCACATACGACGCAGGAAACCAACCAACTGACGATCCATAACGACCTAGTTAACAAAGCGTGGATAATAGTCAATTCAATTGCATTTACAATTCAAAGATTTCTAACAAAATTTCGCCCTTCCATGGTATCTAGTCATAAATAATTCAATTGCAAGCAGACTACCAATTGTGAATTTTGTGACTATCTAATCATCCTCTAATCGCTAAAATCCGGTGTGGTAGCTTTATTGTCAAAGACTTCTGTTATGTCTCCTAAAAAGGAAATCTTTGGAAAAACCTTCAGCAGCCCTCTGATTAAGGAAAATCGAATAGCTGGCTTCACATAATTTGGATAAAAGGCTAAGCGGAAATTTTGTAGAATTATGGATTGTTTATTCTGCCTTTGAGATGACTGCAGATAAACATACCAGTCCACAGTGCCTCTTCTTTCCGGAGTACGGTAATGATAGCATTAGCAGGGAAGGAAAGATCATCATCTCCGTTGCCTCGATAGGGTCGTAAAGCTCGTGCCATCACCTAGAGCAAACGAAATCGCATTCGAAAAGTCATTTCGATTACTATTTTCAAAAACTCGAGAATCTAATGTTTTTTGATGAAAATAAGAGCAGTAATTGCAAAGATAGCCATACCTTTTCCTCCAATTGTGATAGTTCTTGGTAACTTCCTCGGGCTATCTCTAGATGCGCAGGAATCGCGGGGATTTCTTTTTCATTCACCTAAATTTGAACGCTTTCGAAAAAAAGAATTACAGCATATTATGTGGACGAGAGCATAATTGTTAGTGCTAAAACAACTAACCGGGAACCTCAGAGATATTCCGCGCACAAATTCTCGAGAACGATAATACTCGACAATTTGATTGAGATTCTCGAACACCGTTTGATTCACGACAAAAATGCGCCCATCACGCTTCAGACGATAATGCCAAATTTCGCCATCGACTCTGAAAGAAGTTTGCCATTCCATCTCAAAAAATTTGTTTTCAAAGATGACACCTTATAGACAGCACAAAGACGCTCTTGTCGCTGCTGGAGTACCGCAGAAGGAATGCACCATCTTCTGGCACTTGACTCAACAGAGCCTCCGCTTTTTCCTTGTCTGCCGTGGTAGAGAACCATCTAAATACCAAAAATCAGTGTTCAAATTCAAAGTAGACAGAAAAATAAATCAATCTGAGCTGAGCTCACGGCTGATCGAGATGAGGTTGAGGTTGCGGGCACGGGGTGGTAAGTACCATTTTGAATGTGGGAGTTGTCAGATAGTGCCTAGTATAATATGACACGAGCTCGTAAAGTGTATCACAGACCTTGTTGTCCA